GGGAGGGCAAAAATAGTGGATTCAGGAAAACCTTAACCCAAATGCTGGCTTGGTGACAGATAGCAAAGGGTGTACCTCAGCTCCCCCTGTGCAGCTGGACTTGGCCTTCCCTGGCTGTCCCAGGATGAGCTCGCTGTGTGAAATCTGCTGGTGTTTCAGGGACAAAGGAGCATCGCCTCCCCTGCCCAACACTTACTGTTGCACATCAGTAACACAAGGACTTTCCTAGCACTGATGACACGGTGTTGCTATTGTTATTATGAGGAGTATGTACAAGCTATTTTATGGTGAGACATGAGGCACCTGCTTCATAATGAGGCACTTGCTTCATTTTCATGGAGGTGAGGACTCTTGCAGTCTTACTCACCCAAGTCTCTAATCAGAGAAGTGATTCTGCTGCTCTGGAGCATGAGCACATCTGGACAGGAGGATCATGGTGGGAAAGAGGCAGAGGAAAGAGGGCAAAGTGGAGCTGAGTTCACCCTATCCTGGTGCACAGTGGAGGTGGTGTATTTATTACCAAGCTTCACAAACTGCAGTGCATTGTAATCTCCCTCCACTCCCACTATTCAGAAATATGCTCAGTCCTTCCCTTTACCTGCTCTCTCCTGAAATCATTTAGTGCTTTCCCTTTCCTTTTCATGTCTATTGTGTAAGTATTTATTACAGACTATTTTTAATAACTCTGAATATACTATTGAAAAGAAAACCCTAACTGTTTTCTCCACCTGGAATATACCCACCTTGACAAACTTATTCCATATGAAGAAGAGTTAGGTGCTAGGCCACCTTCACATGCAACCCTACTGAGCCCTGATGGGAACACAGGAAAATGAGACCTCCCAGCCTGGACTCATCTCTCCAAGTCCCTTACCCAAAATTCCACCCATTTGCATACTCCAGCTGCAGAGGGAGCACAGGGCCTGCTGTGTTTACCGGCTCCCTAGAAGGTATGCTGTTCCTTTCCTAAACAGAGCCACCTTCCCAATGTCTGTCTTGGCATGTCCCACATTTCTACATTAAACCCACTTTGTTTCCCTGAGGACCATGATGTACTTGGTGTCTGCCCACATTTGGTGTAATAGACACCATCTTGCATATTAAATAGTTGTGCATAATTGCATGTTTTCAGGAGTACATGACAGGAAATGATTGTATTATCATTAGTTAAGAAATTACAACATAAATGGAGAATAGGCATTCTGAGGTGAGCAACTGCCTATGGAGAAATGTGGAGTTCTTCTTGAGAATTTACTGTGAAAGCTGGAAATTCCAGAATAGAACTAGGAGATAGAATTGAAGAAAAGCAAAAAAGAACATGTTGGCGGGAGGGGGGATTTTAGCACAAAACGCAAAACGTTTCCACTAAGAGACAGAAACCTGAGGAACCATACTGTTCTGTGCTGTGGTTTTCAGATCCACTGGGCATCAGGATCTTTGTTCAAAAGCTAATATTAAAAAAATTTTAATTTTCTTAGTCCATGTGTGCAGTACATGCATGCATTTTGGAATTCTCCTGGGGACATGGTTCAAGCACATAATACATGATTGTTTTTTATCCCCCTTCCCTCCTCTAATTCCCTTCTCCCCATTTTCATTCTTGTTGATATTACTAATCCTAGCTCGTGCTATGGCACATGTTGTTTACATTCTTGGGGGTTACTAGCTTCCTGTCCATGGGGCATCTTTATTCTACCTATTTCTCCTTCCACTCCCTCTCACCCCTCTCCCTTGCTCTCTTGGACCCCTTTCCTATTGTTAGACATTGATCTTCTTGTCCACTCTATGTCTCCTTCCATCCTTTTCCTTCTCTCTATTGGGATCTGCCCTAATCGAGTGGAGACACCACCATGATCATGGAGCAGGGGTCTTGGAGCATGTCACTCTGAGCCCCTCTCCCAGGTTCTGATTCTTCAGGTCTGAGGTTGGGCAGGGTCTACACTGTGTTTCCACCAAGTTCTCATGCAATGGCAGTGGTGCAGAGCCCAGGGTCACACTTTGAGGACCACCATTTCTGCTGAGTGGTGATCTTAGTGGAAAACAGCTATTTCTTGTAGATCTCAAGGAGGGTCCTTAACAGGGAGAGAGAAAAGGCTTGGCCCACTTTGGATTGCAGGAGCCATGAGCTGAATGCTTTGCTTTAGGTTTGCTGGTAGTTGTTTCTTTGACAGGAAGTATGGGGTAGATTGTGGGAGGATAAAGGTGAATTGTAAGCCACCATATGTAGAAAGCTCTTTCAAGAAGCATGAAGTTTATGTACAGGGAGAACCGTGCAATACCAAGCCAAGCAGAAGTCCAGGAGAAAGTGCTGTAGGAGGTGAGGGAGCACTGTCAAACACTGTGACCACTGGAATTAATTCTGAAGAGCTGGTGTTTGCTTATTTTTAAAAGTAGTAATATGCCCTGTGCCACACAAGACCACATTGTATTTTAATTTCTGTGTAGTTGTAGCTAACCACATCTAGTAGAATATGAGCTCTGGTGTTTTCCCACAGAATGGGTATCCTTTCACAAAATCAACCTCAGCATTTTAGATGAATTTCTGTGCAGTTATGAACATGAAAGTCAAAGAGCAAGAAAGAGAGGGGAAATTTATAGAGAAAATCTATGGACACTGGAGATTTATCAAGAACAACACAAAAAGCTGAGCTTGTAAAATCAACATCACAGTTCAGGAAAATATTAGTTATAGTCACTGTGCTAATAGTTACAGAACCAAGATTGAAATATCTGTGAAAAACACCAATCTATTTGGCTTGGTCTCAGGGAGAGATCCTCCTAGGTCATCCTCTCAGAGTGATATATATATATATATATATATATATATATATATATATATGAACATTAGTGTTTGTGCTTCAGTGAACTACAAGGGCTACCAGTGCACAGTCCTGTACTAGGACCCTGTGAAAGAGGGAAACTTTCTTGCTCTGAGACAAAATAGTAAAATAAGTGAGAAAACAGCAACTCCATGGAGAAACACAGGAACGTTTACAATTCTCACCCATGCAGTTGATAAAATAACACTCAGAGACTGAAAAGAATGAGGACAGGGGAGGCTCAGGTCTAGAAAAACAGAGGGGGAAAAGGAACCCAGTCAGACAGCTCTGACAGAGAAGGAAAATTTCTTGTCCCCAGCAATAAATTAGATTTTGCTAAAAGCACATCATTCATAGTAGCATTTCTGATAGGAGACATTGCTACAGTTGGGGAGGCTATTGATAATTCTAAGGTTCCTGACATACAAAAATGAATTTGAAGATTACATTATGCAATCAACATGGTCCATTTTAAATAGACATAATATTTAGGCAAATAAAATAAGTGGAACAAAAGCATAAACAATATCTGATAGCTTTCCAGTGTTGTTGTCTCTGGGAAATTAGTTTAATTTTTCCAACATCTACTGAGTTTTCTCAAAACCTTCAGCTGGGATGACAGCATTTGTTATTCATGTTAGGGAATAAATATTTTTAGAAATAGGATGGGATCCTGGCTTTCATGCTAACACAGCATGAACACAGGCTGTGGAACACTAGACTGAGCTCTGATGACACTTAGGCAGCTACTCTCCTCTCCTCTTCCCTCTCAGGTCCCCGGGGAACACCATTCCAGTCACCTCCTCTACAAGACCAACAAATAAGTGGGAACTGAGGTGATATTTGTCTCTTTGTGCCTTGCAAGTCGACTACAGACTTCAACAAACCGTAATGTATTTCAAAATAACTCAAAGAGTCCAACGTATCCCAAGAAATAGAGATGATTAGACTGTGAGGAGATACAAATGTTAAGCACCCTGATTTGACCACTGCACATTGTACACATGTGTCGATTTATAACACTCCTACATGTAAAAATGTACAAATATTGAGTATCAATGAGAAAATACACAAATCAAAGGGTTTAAATCTGTAATTATGAGGGAACTCACAAGATATCATAGACGGTTCAGAGGAGAAATCAAAGTACCATATGCAGGGCCAGATATGTAGCTCAGCTCAGCTGCACAAAGCTTGCCTGGCAAGTGCAAGGTCCTGAGTTGGATACCTTGTACCAAACAAAACAAAATGAAACAAAACAAAATACCACATGGATAAGGACAGATGAAGAGAGCTGAAAATTACACAGAGATGTGAAATAAGTCAATGTACCTACCAGTAGTGAATTGCATTAACTGGAAACTCAACTCATTTGCATTTCTCTGACTGAAATAATTTACATTTTTAGCAGTTTCCTAAAATTTATGGAATTGTAAAATAGTTCAAAGAAAAAAAAAGCAACTATATATGATTTTTACTCTAATTTCTTTTTTCTATTGTTTGTTCATTTTCAAAGTTTTTCAGTTTTCTCTGACACTGCCTTAAGGAAGGATGTAGAATATTTGATAAATGCCTTTGGGAGGCAGATTCTTGTAGGTGCTGAGGATCAAACCAAGGGGCTCCCAGAAGCCAAACAGGAGCTCTACCAATGAGCTACCCTTCAGCCATGTTGGCTACAGTATTTTAAATGAACCCATCAGCTGAACTGGAATAATCAACAGATGATGAAGCACTGACTACAAGTTAATTAAACTGTTATTCAGAAAATTTAATCAAAGTCACAAAGTTAATAAATAGGTCAGTTGAAAACTGGACTTAGGACTCCTAGCTCTAAAAATATGCGTTTTCTTCTCAGCATGTCTTTTAACACAAAGTATGTATGTATGTATATATGTATGTATGATTCAGTTGAGTCAGTTACAGGTTATAGACCTCAATTTAGATAAAATCTTAAGTCACAAAATTCTGCCTGGAGGCCCTGCCCAGTCTCACCTGCTGGGTGCCTGCCCTGGTTAAGTGGCCTCCATGGGGGCTTCCTGGCATTCCGTCTGATCTCAAATTTCTGAAAGATGCAAATGTGAGCCAGAGAAAGAGAAATGAAGAAAAGAGTGCAGGCTGGACTTTTGGTCTAGTCTCACATCACTTGCTTATTTTTACAGACTGGAGCAACATACTGGAGAAATGGACAATGCCACATCAGGGACCATGTTCTTCCTCAGCGGGTTCTCTCACCTCTGGGAGCTGCAGATCCTACATGCTGTGCTCTTCCTGGGGATTTACCTGGTGGCCCTGCTGGACAATCTTCTCATCATCACACTCACCACCAAGGACCCCCACCTGCACAGCCCTATGTACTTCTTCCTGAAGAATTTGTCCTTCCTGGACCTGTGCCTCATTTCCATCACCATGCCCAAGTCCATTGAGAGCTCTCTGATGAACCTCAACCTCATTTCTTTCCTTGTGTGTGTGGCCCAGGTTTTCTTCCTCATCCTCTTAGCCACTACAGAGGTGGCTCTCCTCACAGTCATGTCCTATGACCGCTATGTAGCCATCTGCCACCCACTCCGATATGGGACCATCATGGGCCACCAAGCCTGTGAGCAGACGGCAGCATACTCATGGGCCAGTGGAGGTCTCAATGCAGTTCTGCACACAGCTGCCACATTCTCTGTGCCCATGTGTGGACCTCTTGAGGTCCACCAGTTCTTCTGTGATGTCCCACAGCTACTCTCCCTTGCCTGTTTCTATAATGTCAGGGACTTGGTAGTCATTGGGCTCAGCCTCCTGTTGGACATTGGCTGCTTTGTGTTCATTGATGTTTCTTACTTCCACATCTTCTCCACAGTGCTGAAGATTCCCTCACAAGAAGGCCGCTCCAAAGTGTTCTCCACATGCCTGCCTCACCTGGTTGTGGTGACTCTGTTTCTGTCTTCTGTGTTTTTTGCCTATTTACACCCCCTGCCCAAGTCTCCAACATCCTTTAATTTACCAATTTCTGTCTTCTACATGGTGGTGCCTCCCACTGTGAATCCTCTCATCTACAGTCTGAGGAACAAAGACATGCAGAAGGCACTGAGGAGACTTCAGCAGAGTTGGTGTTGCCCTGCACATTAGAAGAGCTTTGCCTCATGCATCATGGTCTTTTCATTCCCCAACACAGCTCTCTGAACAGTCAGGTTCCTTTGTCTGGAAAAGTTGGATGTTTTCAGAATTCTCATGACAATCTGGTCTTGCCTATTACAGTGTGACTGGGAAGTGGGCTTCATGTCTGATCAAGGGGGTATTGAAGCCAGTAGGGTCCACATGTGATGAGCTAGATATGTGTTGACCTTATTTCTCATATCCTAATGGGATCTTCTGCTCTCCAAGCTGTGAGCAAAAGGATGCTGAGACATCAGAGACAGACTTGGCCTCTCCTGGATAAACCAAACACATGATCACTCTTAGCAAAGGAGAGATCTGAAATGTCACGTGAGCTGACATGTATAATCTATTATGATATTTAAGCAACTGGAGAGAAGTGACAGACCCAACCATGTGACAATACTAAATGCCATACAATTATACAAACATAGAGAGCTAAGTTTATGTTAGACAGTGGTACCTTCATTCACAAACAATTCATTCCAGGATTCTAGGGAAGAGACTGATACATGTTCATGCAGGGCAGATGGCTGCAGTTCTGTTCAATACCCAATGTGAAGTTCATGCTCTGCAGCAAAATTTTGATGAATGCTTCTGTTTGGGAACCAAATTGTTTGCAAACAGAAACTTTCATGAACTGAGGTATTACTGAATTAGTTTCCTATCACTAGCAGTCTGAAAGCAAAATCTCGACACAGCTCTGTCCTTCTATCTTCTGCTTTGTTTCCCAAACCCACTACATGCTGATCTCTGTAACTGCTTGTGTCCTGAAAGTCTAGTGAAAAGAGATGGAGACAAGAGAATTCATCTATACTGTTTATCAATACTTCTCCTTAAGGAAATGCTAAAGTAAGCTTTTGGGTACATGGGATGAAATCAAGGGACACAGATGGCCTTACAACAGATGTGATTAACCATACAGAGACTATACATTGTTTACAGCAGGATGTATCTAAGCTTTGTTTTAAATGACGGAGAGGATGGAAACTGAAAAAGAAAGATGAACAACTGCAAGTGGAGGGAAAGCAGGAAAAAGCCAAATCAGCACAGATTATGGGCTGTAGAAAAGTTACAATGGTGCTAACCACAGAACTGAGAGTGGTCTAAGACAGGGAGCTACTGACAGCTTTGTCATGAAAATAAGGAGGCAGAGAGAAGGGGATTGCCTTAGCAGACAGAGGCAAAGAAGCTGGGCAAATACACAGAGAGGAACTTAACTCTGCCATGAAGGGCAAGGGCTGCTGTCACGTATCTACAGTGTTTAGAGAGACCACACCAGCAACCATGACTGTGAAGTTGAAGCCAATAAGAGTTCAGGCCACTGTACCTGCTGCACATCTAACCACACTGTGTGTAGATTGCTGGCCATTTCTGATTTAATAACAGTTTTCATACCTGGCAGTTTTGTTAATGGGGTTACCTTTGCCTACGGTTGTTCCAAACTAGTTTAATTCTCTATCATGGGCTCCTGAGCACCACTGCTTCTTTTTATAACACTGTAGTTCTAATTTGATATTTATTTCTCTAAGGTTCTGTATACCACTGTGATTCTTGTGTTTTGTGTTCATCTTCCACATCTAGCTTGGTATGTGGCACAGAGCAGCCATGTAGTTAGCATTTAACAGGTGGGTGAATAGACACAGTCCTATGTGGTTCTTCCTAAGGAATTTATCTTTTTTGTCCCCTAAATAATCATATTTTACTAAAGATGAAGCACTCTAACTTATAGCTGATATGTGAAATTAAAGGAAATTGTCTGAATATCTATCAGGATATCCATTTGTGGATGAAAAGAGGCTTAAAAGAATTATGGTTAAAGACCCTATGATAGAACATTTGCTGACTTCAATACATACAACATTTTAAATAATAACTGGAATTGTTATTGATATAACTGTGCTGGGGCTGATCATGAGTGATGTGGAAAATAACAAAATATTATAAACCTCACACAATCTCTGAAAATTTATTTTATATTAATATTTACCTATACAAATGTAACATATGGAATTGTACACATTTTTTTCTGTTATGACAATACTTTTTCTGTAGGGTAACACTTCAGACAAACTTAAACTTTTTACTACTTACAGGTTAATTATTTAAACACAGGATGACCAAAAATTGCATTTTTGTTAATTTTATAAGATAATATAACAGGAAATATAAAAATGATGACTCTCAAATTTATTCAATATTTTTTCTGTGTATAATTTATCTTAAAATATTCAATATAGAGAGCATCATTGCAATCTGGACATTAATATCTAGGCTTTTACTGAATTATTTTTGCATTATTGTCAAACTAAAATGTATATTTGGTAATGAAAGATTCAGAAGCATCTACTACTTAGATAAATGAGTGATTATCTCAAATTACATTGTTATTCACTATTTTTCCAGCACATTCATTTCTAAGCAAGTACCACAATAATATAAAGCTAAAATATTAAATATACTTTTTTGTGTTTGTTTGCTTTGTCTTAATGTTTTGTTTCATATAAGTGAAGCAATTGATTCCAAAAATCCTTTCAAACTGTATACATATGTACTCATACATTTATGTTTAGGCGAACTCTAAAACTGCTATATTAAATATTCAATAGGTAGAACATTGGTTTAATTAGTAAACCCAAATAGAATAAAAGTCCATGCTCATATTATGCTTAATGCTAATAACACAGAAAACATATCCAGCTTTCATAAGTCAACAATACTAAACTATTTTTAAAGAGTTTCATAAATCACAATAATCTGTAAAGAATTTAATTTGGTTTGTGTATTTTTGAAAATTTTGGAAATATTTAAATTTATGTAAGTGTTCACTGATCTCTAAGTGAGAGGAGGGTTTTCTGTGGGACATTGAAAATGATCCCATTCTCAATTTCCATTATATCAAATTTTTAGATTCCACTATGACTGACATCATTGAGTATATGTCTCCCCATGCCTGGCTTATTTGGTTATTATTTTACAGGTGTATCGATGTGGTTGCAAATGATAGGACATCATGCTTCACTATGGCTGACTAGCAACCTGTGGTGCATGTGCACCTTTCCTTTATCCATTTGTCCACCACTCAGGTTGACTCCACATCCTAGATATTGTGAATAGCATTGCAATAAACATGGGAAAGCAGGTGTTTTCAATATGTGATTTTAAGTTTTTTGGCTATATACCTGATAGTGGAATTTCTGGATCTTCACTCTTTTCATTTTTATAGTGTTTTCAATAATGAATGCACTCATTTACATTCTCACAACAGTGAGTATGAATTCCTCCCTGTCTGCAACAAGTTGTTTGTATTACCTTACTGTAGCTATTCCATTGTTCAGAGGTTGCATTTTATTGTGGGTTTAATCTACAAGTTCCTGATGTTTAGTGATGTTGTTTCCATTCAAATCATTTTGAAAAAGGGCAAGCATTTCCAGTTCACACTCATCCTTACCAAATTTTTTTTTTGATTTTTCAAAACTTTGAAATAATTGAGCAGTTAAAAATTTTATAGGAAGAAGGCTGCATGGTACTATGCTCTTTGAAGAGGAGTAATTCCTTCTCAGTGAGCAGCTCTGTAACTGCAGGTGCAGAGAGTGAGTACAGAGGCTCTTCAGAGTAAGAAGAAACCAGAGAATACAGGGACAGCTACTCCCATTGGAAAAGAGACACTTTTCTGAGACATAAAATCCATTAAACCAACAAAAGACAAGACAAATTGGGAAAATTAAGTACTGTATCATATAGGATTTAATATACAGAAAAATCCCAACATTCTGTGAATAAGAAATTTAAAAAACCAGTAATCCCATGTAAGAAGGCTAGAGGTACACATAAAGAGTTAAAGGAAAATAAAAGACAATAGGTTTTTAATCTAACTTTGCAAAGACAACTTTAAAATTGTACTAAGATAGCAGTTCTAATTTTCAATTGCAAATTTTCTTTTTAAAAAATTATTTCACTGACTTTTAATTTTTATTTTTATTACTACATGTGTGCTGTACATAATGATTCCCTTCCTCATGGGGATCTGTGCAGGGACATAACACAGACTCCCAGCCATCTGTCACCCTGTGGCTGTGCATACATTGTGAGCAAAGCAGGACTCCACACCTGTGTGGAGGAGTTTGGACTATCTAGTCACATGGCATGCTATTGCGGACTTTTAGCCAGATCTATGTTGAGAAGCAAGAGAAAAGACCCCAGTACAATGATTTAAAATGTTTTGAGTTTGGCCAGAAAGGAAGCTCCAGTAAAGCTGTGGATTGCAGAGATAGAGCAGAGGAGACCTTGATTGCTGATAAGGAAAAAGAGAATGAAAAAGATGGCCCTAAGACATCAGAAGAAGCAGCAGGACTCTACCCTTTGCAGCCTCAAAATGGCAAATGTGAAAGACTTTGCCTTGAGAAGGAAGCCCCAGAGTACCATGTTCCAGAATGGTGGCAGCCTAGGGAAGTTGTCCAAAGTGGCTGCTTAGGGAAGTTGCTCTTTTAGATTGGCTTCAGAGTGCTCAGCAATCAGGTGCTCCACTTCTACAGCCAGGACAGAACGAAGCCTGGCTACTGCTCTAGTTGGCAGCAGACCTTGGCAACATCCATGTAGTGCTGGTTTTAGGTCCATTCAGAATAAAAGAGCTGTGGAGTCAGGAATTCTTGCACCCAGATTTTAGAAGAAGGCCTGGAAGGCCAGGCCATGTGTCTCTGAGAGGGCAGCATGAGAAGCTGTGAGTGTGAAGCCAAAGATGCAATGGTGATCCCAGAAGTCTGGAGAATCCAGGAGTGTGGATCATCTGAGGAAAACTGCAAAGAGGGAATGGATCTGGCTCCAAGAGAAACAATGGGAGACTCAACTACTGGGAGGGCTACAGGGGCAGAGCACCAAAGCCTTTGTAGTTCACAACTTGCCACAGGCTGCCCTGGATGCTACACATGGAACTTCAGGACTTAATGTTTGCGCTGCTGGATTTGGACTTGCTT